CAAAACTCTGCACTTGCCCTTGTTGAACTTGGTAAGATCAAAAGATCTCCATTTGCCAAGTATGCATATGAACCTTTGCCACAAATTTTTTGGAGGACAGTCTGAGGACAGAAGGAAACTCTGGTGTAACTCCAGGTGTATGCGGGTTCCTATTTAAAACTCTTGTTAAGAGGGAATGCAGTATAAGTTTTCAGGTTGCAATTTGCTGCTGTTTCTGAAATGGTCAGCTCCAAACTCTGTGTTGCTGTGGTTTCAAGTGTCAAGTCCCAAGTTCTTGCTTTTTGTTTCCCTTCTCCTTCAGAAAGTGAATTCCTTTACTGTTCATAGCCTTTGGCACTGTAATGTTAATAGATCTGCACCCTCATGCAGTTTTCTTATGTCCTCATCCCTCCCTCACAACTTCGTGTTTGTAAGGCAGCTACTGATCAAAATAACACTACTAAGTTGATGAGCTAATAAGCCTGATGTCCTAGAGAAGAGGTGGGCTGAGATAAAAATCCAGGACAGAGAGTCACAAAATGGCTTGGGTTGGACGGGACCATAAAGATCATCTAGTTCTATCGCCCCTGCCATGGGCAGGGACACCTCCCACTAGACCAGTTTGCTCCGAGCCCCATCCAGCCTGGCCTTGAATACTTCTAGGGATGAGGCATCCACATCTTCTATGGTTAACCTCTTCTGTGTTTCACCACCTTCACAGTAAAGACTCTCTCCCTTATGTCTAAAGTAAATCTACCTTCTTTCAGTTTAAAGCCATTACCTCTTATCCTAACACTACATGTTCTTGTAAAAAGACCCTCCCTAGCTTTCTTGTAGGCCCCCTTGTGGTACTGGGAGGCTGCTATAAGGTCTTCCTGGAGCCTTCTCTTCTCCAGGCTGAACAGCCCCAACTCTCTCAGCCTTTCTTCACAGGGGAGGTGCTTCAGCCCTCTGATCATCTTCATGGCCCTGCTCTAGGCTTCCTCGAAGAGATCCGTGTCCCTATATTGGGTGTCCCAGGGCTAAACACAGCACTGCAGGTGGGGTCTCAGAAGAGCAGAGTGAATGGCTCATTTAAGTTGAGGCTAACAAGCCTTTGATGTAGCTGAACTGGTGCTCTGCATTTGGTTTGGGTGTTTTTGCACTGAGCTTCCTAGTGTGTCTGTGATACTCATCTGATCATCCTGTTAGCTGGGGTGATGGGAAGTTGTCTATGCAGAGCTGCTGCTTACACTCTTCCTGCTAGGAAGAAAACAGTGACTCCCAAGCATATTGGGAGCTCTCAGATCTTATAAGGTCGCGAATAGGAGGACTTTGGTCTCTGACTTAAAAATGAAGTTATTCCTGTGTATGTTCTGTGGTCATGTACTACCATCACACAAATACGTAAAGCTTCAGCAAATTGCTTTTTATTTTTACTGACTATAACTGTCTGGCAACCCTATTATGTGCAACACAGGTTTATGTCAGAAAGACAAAATACTAAGATGCAAGTTCTGATATAATAAATAGAATGCTTGCCGTTGTGTTGGTATTAAGTAAAGTGCCAATTTAGTAAACTGCTTTTTACATGTGTCTTAGATTTGGGGGGGGAAAAAACACCCTAGCAATGAAACAGCTGGAAAAAAATATTCAAGGTAGTATGTTTATTCTTGGGATGTTTTTTCCCTATAGTACAAAAGGTATGAAGTTGCTTGAAACATGGTGTACTCATTGATGCATCAGTAACTTACAGTGAAACAGCTCTGATATATTGAGTAAAAGGCAATTCTAGTACTGACTCTGGAGAGGTTTGAAAAAGTGTCTGTGTACTTGATCACTGAAGTTTATTGCTGACATAGAGAAACAGGGGGAGGGAAAATGCAATTCAGTGTTCTGCCTACATATTAAAGTATTAAAGTGGAAGTGTTAAAGTATTTTATGTTAAGCGATTTCCATATTAGTGTTGGAAGAGAGTTATCTGAAAGAATTGGACAAGCATTTAATTTACAACCTTATTTTCAAAATCTTTACATACGTTGCATAAGAGACTTCACTTTCATTTTGATGTTTTATCAAGGTTTGGTTTTTGGAACACATGGTGGAATTTTCAATTGCGTCACAGTTTAGCAAGCTTGTCTTTTGTAAATCACATTTCAATGGTGAGTTGACTAGCCTCTGTTTTCTCAAGGGATATTTCTAACTTTCAAGCTGGGGTACTTCCACTTTCAGCTATTTTTCTTTGGCCTGGCTTTGATTTATACAAATGCTAATTATAGGGGCTTTGAATCTATGTGTATGTGTAGTTTCACAAGGTCATACACTTTTTTAATGAGATAGCTGAAATGCTGCTTGTATATTGCTAGGTTGTTATATAAACAGATCACTGTGTCTTCTAAATGTTGTTTCATTAATCAGTTCAAAAAGAGAAGAAAATAACATTCCCTGTGTAAAGCTGATATTTAGTTTTGTCTCCTAAAATTATGTCTTCATTGTCTTTGCAGGCATCAGAAGGTGTCACCTTCATTGGACCTGACATGCATGCTATTCAAGCTATGGGAGACAAGATTGAAAGCAAATTGTTAGCTAAGAATGCAAAGGTCAACACGATCCCTGGCTTTGATGGAGTAGTCAAGGTGAGAAATTATTTAATTACTGTCTGCCCGCTGTAGGAACAGTGTCTAAATTGAAATACACCTATTGAAGGTCTGATGCAGAATGCAATTACAGCTTCGACTTTTTTTTCAGTAAGATATAATTAAAAGCAGTACAGATTTTTACTAGCAAGAGAGCTTTGGAGGTGAAGAGAAAGTTCTTTGTAATAAATGATGCGTTAAGGACTTCTGTGGAGTCTCTGAAAATGTTTTGCCTTAAATTTAACATGAAATCAGTTGAATGTGTTAAGTGTCAGATGTGAATTCGACTATCTGCACGTGGCTTTATATTTCTCAGGTCTTCTTGTTGGCCAATATCTCGACAGTCCTAAATTAACAGTGAAGTTTGCTACACTGCATGAAGTCTCCATTTTAATTAGTCTGTGCTGATGGGGTAGCTTTCCAGTTGTTGTGAAACTCAGGATGAGGATAGGGGGGAAGTTAGTGGCTCTTTGTCCAAATCTACAGCTAGTGTTCTTCCCAGGGTTTTAGAAGGAATGATTTCCAGTGGTTTTCTAAAAATATTTTAGTTGTTCCTTTATATTTTCTCAGGTGAAATAAACTGTGCCTTGGTTTTAGTTAATTGTCTTCTATGGTGATTAAGTATTGGTCTCTTACAAGCTTTCCTGTGTGTCTTCATATGTTGTCTTATGTTAATGTAGGTAAATAAACTCTTTCCTTTAAAGCGTTTGTTTTATACACCTAAAACTTTGGTTTATTGTAAAATTTTGACGACCTGGATTAAAATATTTTATGCTTTACCTGTCAAGTTAGTTTTTTTTCTTCCAAATAAAATTTGAGTAAAACTGAGTTGCACGAGAAAGTGAAAAGTTTCTTTCAACAGCACTTTAATATTGTGGAGGGAAAACAGTAAAATCATGAAATGGCTGAGGTCAAAATGCACGAGGGAATTCCTCTGTGCCTGTGATGGGAAATATCAGGGGTGTGTGATGCCTGGCAGTGGGGTAAGCTGTAACAGATAAAAGTGTTTCTCTTTTGGAGGACTCCGTACAGGTGTTGGGCTGCATTTTTGGCAGTGCTGGAATCTGGCAGTGACACGTGGAACTTCAGGTTTCTGTCACCTATTTTAGTGGTCCTTCATACGTGGGCCACTTAGCGCTCATAAGATTTAGCAGCTGTGAAGCCATTGTGCATAAGATTCTCTGTTCTGTCTGATATCCTGTATATTCTTCTAGAAATCTTGAAAATGACTTCTAGAAAAGCATCTGATTGGAATTAATCATCTGAACCCCACAAAACTTTGTCTAACGCGAATCAAATACTCAAAATTCTGGTTTTATCACTGTATCAAGTTAAAACTTATGCCAAGTGTCTGTTATTCTGCCAATATAAAGAAACTAACCTTTCACCGTTGGGTAGTGGTTAATGAACAGATAGCCATATTGCCAGTGAAACTGAGCTGCTTACCTGTATGCACTTTTTCCCCGAGATGTTTGATTGCATGGTTTTTTGACAATTATCTGAAGCTCCTGACACAAGATGAAAGAACGTAAGTGATCTGGTTGGAAATTGGCTGTGTGCAACGGTAGTCTTAACACCAAATGAAATCGAATGTAGGATTGAATTGACAACTCCAATTCTCAGCTATTGAAAGGAACTATGCAGTAGTTGCTTAGTCCTGAAGTGTACGTGTCATCAATTTCACATACCTCTGTCTTGCACTAGTTCCGATTATCTGAAGAGTGTTGATGAAAAAGAACATGAGATTGAAATAAACAGCCTTGCAGTGTACCCACCAAATACGGAAAAGGGCAGACATTGCCAGTGTTGTAGCTTCCAACAGAAAAGGGCAATGAAAACTTTTGAAAAAAAAAGTTTGGGGTTACCACTTCTAGGAAATAGAACTTCTGATAATTTATATTCTCACTCTTGCTATGATTCTCCATATGTGCCTGTGTTTGTCCTCTGATATCTTTTCTGTGGTAATCTGTCTTTTGCTTGGATGACTACTCGAGTAAATAGGTCATACAGGATAACTGATCTTTGGTTAGGATCCTATTTTGCTGATTCAAAGATAAGAAGGGCAGAGCTGTGTGATACCAGGGACAATCAGAGGAGCAAAGCAAAAGGAATGTGTAGGATTTCCGCCTTTCTGTGGGAGACCTATTTTGGTCACACAGTTATGAAGCTTTCAAAATCTTTAAGGGCTTTTTCTCTTGAGTAATAAAATTTTTAAAGGTCTAGGAAGGAGCTAAGTGTCTGCTCGATACCTGAGTTGGTTAGAGGTGGATTCATCTTTATAGTGAAGTCTAATAAAGCTGGAAAAAAACTGCATGCGTACCTTTAATAATGCTAGAAGTTACGAAAGATCAGTTGTGTGTGTTCTGTGCGGGTGAATATTTAAAGTGAACTTCTTTAGAGTAGTAGCAGTAGTACTTCTTTTAAAGTAACAACTTCTAGCACTTAGTTACTCAGCTCAGGACTTCACTGAAAAATTGTTGTTACTTGAAGAGTTGTCATTATCTAGCACTTATTATAGTGCTACAGATCTATAGGTTCTTCATGAGTATAAGATAAGTGTTTTTCCCCCTCTTATTTATGTTGCTTAGCACTTGCACATGGTGGACACTAAAGCTGCATGCAGAAAACTTCGCAGTGAGTAGGAATTAAATTAGAAATTGAAGAGAAGGAAGCACTTAAACAGTATACTTGAGGACCTGGAAGGACTGAAGAGAGATCCTTGGCATTCCAGACATGAGTAACTATTCTCATACAGGCAAAGGCTGTAGCAAATATGAAACCAAGAATGGAAGGATGTGAAATGAGAGTGGAGAGGGTAGTCTGCCAAAGAGGAATTTTCTTCTCATCCCTAGTTCAATTTCTCATTTGGCTGGTGGAAATCTACCCATGTAAGAGACCTGAGTCTGGTGCTGACAGCTACAAAGCCAGCAGAAGCATTTAAAGGTAGTTAATTTCAAAATTTTTGGCTACAATGAGTTTCCTAAAACTTGTTTGGAAGAGATAGTGGTAAATAGTCTTAATCAAAAAAAAAATCAGTGATCTATGTCAGCAATGGCTCTACTGAACTTAGAGCTGAGAAGATGTATTGTCTCTAAAAGACTAAAGAGGAAGAAGTGACGAGGAAGTGGAGGCCAAGTAATGAATTTAAGGAGATGCCGTGGTGAAAGCCTAGCGAAGGAATGGCAAAGGAAGAGTTTTGTGGAGTTTCGCCACGTACAGCCAGTTTGGTTTTACAGCTAGATGTAGACCCAGAAAGCTAATGTTTCTGGGTGTTAAGTCGGTTTCACTGATGTCAGAAGACACCTTGAAGGTTTTCTGCAAGGCTGTGAATTTATTGCTTTTAAATTTCACGTATCTATTCTGTGCTGCATTCTTGCTTTGAGATATTGATGTTGGTATTAAGTAATTGCTGTGTTGCTGGGAAGGTGGCTGGAAATTATATGAGCTGGAGATTCTCTAAGCCTAAACCCCCCAGCCAGGAAAACTCATGTAGTTCTTCATAATTAATACAATGTTTTACAGCTCTAGGAGTCTCTTAAATAGCCTTATTCTGGCATTCCTCAACATCAGAATAGTTTTGGAGTTTTTTTTGTCTCTGCCTGCTGGTACCTGACAGAGAGGCATGTATAACAAATTAGGAGGTTAGAAATCCTTGCACTGAGTATTTTATGTATTCTTAACTTAATGAAATCAGCCATTTGTGAAAACACTATGACATCATTTTGCAACTCCCATGATTTTTACAAACTTGCACCATTACTTGAACATTTTTATTTGTACAATAAAAGGTGGTGCTAAAATTATATATTTCTTTACAATCTCCAGTTTATTTTGGGAAAACGGGAGTGTAGCTAATGTGTTTTTTGAGGAAACAGCAGTAAATCATTGAGGACTTTTTTTTTTTTAAAAAAAATTGCTTTTATTACCAGTGTGGCTTTGTGTATTCTGCACATACAGACTTGTGTGTTGTACAGCGTCATAGTAGGCAGGTTTTTTGCCCCGATAGCAAACGTTGTTATTCTATCGTAAATTTTTTGCACCAAAAATCTAAAATAATTGTCCTGACTTTTTATGAGTACTCAAACTACTGCTGTATTTGTGTAATCTGCAAGTGAAACGTGTGATACTAAAATTTACTTTCTTGGGGAAAAAGATCAAAATATTTACCAGAGATTTCAATGTCAGGTTTTTTTTTGTTGTTGTTAGTTTTTCTCTTACAAGCACAGCGTATCTTTATTTTCTGTTTCAGACATGCTCTTTGAAGGCTAAAGAATTCGAATATGCGTTGACTATTATTATTGTATCTTAGAGTGTGGATTCTAATATATTTGAACTCTAAAAAAACCCCAGATTTTGAAACGGCGTGAATTAATAATTGTGCTGGGCAGATCACTTCAGCCTGTCTGCGCCGGAGCTGAGACGATTAGTACTGCTGATACAGTGCCGCTTATTACTTAAAGTTGTTTTCTGCGTGTATAAAAATACAGTGGCGGTGAAAAGTGCCCCTCAAACGATTTGCAGCTTGTCTGCTCGTGGAGTGCAGCGTATCAGTTAGCCACTTGTTTGCAGGTAACTAAGGGGAAAAAAAATTACCCTGTTTGCTTCCCCTCCTCCTCTTAATTCTGTTTAGCAAATATATGAGTGAATTTGCAAGAGAAAAGAAATGTAAAAGTTTCCTTCTCGACTCGAATCGTGGCTCTTCATCAGTCATCACTCTTCCTGCATTTTGTTCAAGAGGCTCTAATTGTCTGCATTTGGCAGGTTTAACACTTCCTGACAGAGAGGCTATTAAGGGGAAGTATTCTCGCATAACTGTCACAGGCAGGAACAAAGAACCTTCAAGCTCAATGTGTGGAAACCACTAACATTCTTAAATGACCCTTTTCATGCATTTTATCCCTTTAAGCTAAAATTTGGAGGGTGCAGGGTCATGGAAAGCAGCAAGGTGTAATAAAACAGTAAACCCTGATTTTAAATTTTTTTTTGGGAGGAGTTTTTTTTACTAGATTTATCTCTTGACTTAAAAACAATTGTTATTTGGAAAAATCTCATTAACAGATGTGACTGGAGTAAAAAGACTTAAAACTGATGTTGCTTTCAGGACTGCTTTGAACTTAACAAGCACCGATTTGTGGAGCAGACTAGCTAATGAAAGGAAATTAAATTTTCTGACAACTTCCCCTGCCAGCCCCCTTATTCTTCATGGGGCTGTTACTAGGTACTGAAGACTTTTAAAGAGGATTTTGTTTTATTATCGGACATAAATGAACCAGGTATGAACATTTCTTATGTATTTTTTTTTTAAAGTTCTGACCTGGGTGCTTTTAAAACGGATTGCCTTGAAAGCTTTAAAAAGATCGGATTTCATTTTAATGTTCATAAGTCAACCCCCATAGTTTCAGACACACTTAGCAGCTGGTGATTTCCAGACATTACTGCCTTCCATACAAATTTTTTAATGCATGTCACAGAATAGTATAAATAGTAGCAAATTTGGATGGAATTTAAGTTAATCCACGCCACTGTAATTTAACCCTTTTTCTTGCTGGTATTATGTGATGGAAATATTGTTTTCAGTAGAAGAAGCCAGGATTAACTACTGCAGGAGAAGAGGGTTTGATAACTAAAAAGTAAGCAATACTTGTATTTTGTTGTTTATTCTCTGTGTTTCCTAGTAATTTTTTCTGTACTGGGCTATAGTGGTATGAGTCAACTGAAGCAATGGGTGGCATAAGCAAACTGACTTTTCTAATTGTCATACACTAGTAATGTGCAGACTCTTAAATGGAAACAATTATGTGAATCTTCTCATTTCAGATACAGTTTCAAGTGATGCATCCAAGGTTTATCCTACATTTAGAATGAAGAAACTTGCGAAAGTGAAATACTTGTATTCTTTCTTCGATAGACAAAAAAAAATTGTCTTTAAAGAAGTTCTGCAAGATTTTTTTTCTGATTCTGATTTGCTCCCAAACAATAGAGAATCAACTCCCCCTACTGACAACAACCAGGAAAACACAAGAAATACCTGTGAGGACAGAAACGAGCTGGCAGTGGACAAACTTTAACGACCTGATTTACGGTCCATTATTGATTGTAAACTTCTAAATTCTAGCATTAAATTCCTACAACTGCAGAAAATCATTTTGCGATCCTGGTTGTGTTTCCTGTCAGCTGATTCCTCGTTGCTTTGAGTTTCTCGGTATACTAATGATGAGGTAGAATTTACATTCCACTTATGGTATTAATTTTACATTCCTCTGGCTGAAAAGGGTCAGAAGGTTGTAAAATCAAACATTAAATGAATCAGAGGAGACAGTAGTGCAATATATGACTGCCCTCAGGACATAATGCAATGGCTGATGGGATTAACGTTGGGTCTCATTTCCTGCTTTTACAGGATGCAGATGAAGCTGTCAGAATTGCAAGGGAAATTGGTAAGTTCTTAAATTAGCTATGGTGGGATTTGTGTGCCTCTCAGCAGACATGGTTGACTAAATTGAATGTGTAATGAGTAATCCCTATAGAACAAATAATGTTTTAATAGTTTTTAAGTTCCTCCGTTGCCTATAGGGCTGGAAGAATCTAGGCGTTAACACCCTCTCTTAAATTGTCATTTTTTAGCTTTGCAAACTGGACTTTACAGAACAAGTGCAGCTGTGACTTGTGGAATGTGTGTGATAGGCAGTAATGAGTTGTTTGCTAAAGAAGTTCCTTCAAAGTATGTCTGCAATTGGACATGATGGTCAGAAGTCAGGCATGCGGTGTTTCTCTTTATGGGGAGGCTGACACCAGTGGTGTTACGATCTTCGTTCTTCATTGCTCTGTGGGCTGCAATTAGCTTGAATATCGTCCAGACCACCAGCCTTTCTTCTGTGCTTTCTGGAATAAAGTCACTATTCAGCTTCTGAGTAGCTTATAGGATGGTGAAAAGAGCAACCAGCAAACTGTCTGGGACTCATTTTGAGGAAGGTTAAGTGTAGTATGTGTTTAATGAGTTTTGGCTTTTATTTACTAAAGCTTACTATTAGGGAAAATATTAAACCATATGCTTGAAATTACATGTGTTCTTAAATGCTTTCTAGAAGAAGAGTCTAATGCAATAAGAAATTTTTATTGGTTTGGTGTCTTTTTTTAAAATTTGTTTTCATATTAAGAGACTAGTCATGAGAATCTACTTAGATTTATCACAGGTGCATAATTCAAAGGCTGTATCTGCATTTGAAGCTTTTGTTACTAATCTAGCTACAAATATTTCTCACCTGTGTAAGAAGCTATGGCTGTGCCTTATGTGCCAAATAGAAATTGAGACTTAGATTTGTGCAGATGAGTATTCATCAGTGTAACACCTTTCCACTTTGAATTTAAGTTGGGAGTTTTACCCTGCACTGGTTAACTGCCCTGAAAGCCCTCAGTATAGGCTTGGCTGGCTTCTAGGCTGACACTACTGAAGTCAGCATTTCTGTGGGTCAGCCTTTATGTCCCTGTTGGGGAATCAAGTGATAACTGATACTGTCGTGGGAGCAGAAACAAAAGGAAGAGGTTATCAACCAAATTAGAACATTTGGAGGAGAACTGTAAATAAAATTTGGGTTTAGTCCTGAAAAAAAGGCATGATATTACAATTTTATTGAAATGAAACTGAACAAATAATCTTTCTTGCTTTTTTTTAAAGATTTCCTGCAAGTATTTTTAAAGCAGTTTTGATTAATGTAAATTGGAAGACACTCAGTGGCTTCCTAGATACCCTTTAAAATGCATTGTTGCTTAATTTTCTTCTGAGTTCTTCTGATGTTCTAATGACTGGTTCCTGTTAAAGTAGCACTTTGGAGATCATTAATATCTACAGATTTAAGGCTGCTTTGATATCAAGTCAATTACAGACAGCTGAGTGGTGCTTTATCTAGATGGCAAACTCTTAAATCTTTTTGGTACAAAAAAGGTTTGTGCTATGATGCTGTGTAGTGAAAGAAAAATGTCCTTTCTAGTATTTTTGCCATGCATGTTTTTACCAGTTGTTCAGTTTGCTTAAGCTTCTGTCTAATCATGACTGCTCAGAATAAAGCTCAATGATTTGTAATTGCAAAGGATCTAAAATAGCCTCTTATGTATACAGTGCATTTATTCTCTTATATAAGGTGCTTTATATGCAATTGAATACTTTCAAATTATTTTTGATTTCACTTATCCAGAGCCTCAGTATCCCAAGAATGCTTAAGTAATTATTTGAAAAAAACTAAAAATCACTGTTGGCTAGTGCTTAAAAACTTGAAACTTTGCGTCATGTTCTCTTGCTGCCTGTATCTTCTGCTCCTCCCTACTGTCTTCTGGCCAAAGACCCAGTAGCTAGCAGAGCATGGCACTTCAGGGTTGAGACACTGCCTTTACCTGTTTCAGTGGCTGTTATTTATGGATATGGATTTTCTAAGTATGAGAGTAAAACCTGCCTTTCACCTCTCATTTGAGATATGATCCCAAGCTCTCAAGAGACAGCCTGACAGAGATACTAGGCTAAATCAGGAACTGGAAGTAGTTCAGGCATGGATTGCTTATATGGGCTCTTCTCTGTAGTCTCTCTCCTCTGTTTGTCTGTGTGGGCTGTTCTTCTCTTGGGATCCTTTCTGTGGTGCTTAATCACGTTGGCTCTTTTCCTATGCTACTTCTAAGTCTGTTTGTAAGTGGCACATTAAGAACTTTTGGCTTCTTGCTTTCTGAAGCACCGATGAAACTCTAACAAGTTTCACTCTTCAGGATTAAACCGCCAAGTGCTGGCAGTTCAATGAAAGTCTATACAAAATTGAAGAAGTAAAAAACATGTTTTTGTCATGTTTCATTTGACCTGGGTTTAGTTAATACTAGCTTTTCAATAATGACTTTGGATTTATGTTGCTCATTTTTTTCTTACTACTTGTCAGTTTGGGGAAAGTCCTTTTCTATTGTAAAAAAAAAAGTGTCATCTGTTTTCTGTGATACTGTTACATAATATCTGAGCAGCATAGCTCTTGAGGGTGCTGTGTTATTTAAAATATACTGTACTAAGTGTTGATAAGATACAGGTTTGCACTGAATCTATTTAGTAGCAGTTTGTGAAGATCTCCTGCTTATATTTGCTGGTAATTTTTTGAAAAACTTCATCACAGCTATAGCTTATTTCATCAGTAACAAAGGAAAATAATTTTGTTCCTCAAGAAACATGAGCTTAAAAAGGTCAAATGCCTTTATTCATAAATCACATTGTTACTTGGGAATAATTCATTCAGTGCTTTTTTGGTATAAATGAATTGGAGAAGACAACCTTTCTCGGCTTCAGAAATCACTGCACTGACAGCTAAGTCTTGAAAAGAAAAAAAAAAATCTCTCCTCTCCCTCCAAACAAAGTGTTTTAATAAACGAAGTTATTGTCTGTTGGCATTATTGGACATGTGGTCAGTTGTCATGTTCCTCTTACCAACTGAACAAAGTTTGAACTTCTGTCTAATTGTTCCCCGCTGTTAGGCTACCCTGTCATGATCAAGGCCTCAGCAGGTGGTGGTGGGAAAGGCATGAGAATCGCTTGGGATGATGAAGAGACCAGGTGAGATGCTGTCCAAAAGCTTGCCTTGATGAATGCTGCAGTTACCAAAGTCCCATTAAGCCTCTCTGAGCTGACAGTTGAGCAGATATGAAATGTTAGACAGAAACTGGATATTATTTGGTTTTCTCCTTTTTGTAGAGTGAGCAGTACACTCTGGGAGTTTGCATATGTCTATTTAAAATGAATTTTTGCACAAACCTTACAAAACGTGGTCCATTACTTTGAGTAGAAAAAAAACACCTTTGAACTGTCGTTAGTCCAGTGAGAGACTGTAAATAACATTTTGCTGTATTCCTTTCAGAATGCTGATGTATTAATTGTCTGTGTGTTAGGTAGAATATTTATTGGCCCTGATTCTCAAACGTTAATGCATGTCATTAGTTCTGTTAAAGTTGATGAGACTGATTATTCATGTGTGGAAACACATACGGTGTTTCCAGAATGTGCTCTAATAAATTGCATACTTCTGTGTTTAAAATATTTGTCTCAGCAAACTCTTGTGCTTTTGCCTGTTTGAAATGTTTGTTTAAGCACACAGGCATTTTCATGTCTCTTAATGGTTGTCTGATTCCTAAACATTTCCCAATGCTTTGATATTGACTCAGAGTTTTACAGTCTATTCTCTGCTGCTATTCTGGCAGTGAGGAGCCTGATTTCAACCCCATGTGCCACTGATATTACTGAAAAATGTGGTTTGGGTTTTTTCAAAGACTTTAAGGAAGAGCCTATTTGAACCAAAATTAGGTAGCCTAAATGTTTTCCTTTTCCACATGGAATGAGAGGAGAACAGATGCTGGAATCAACTCAAAAGTACAGCTCAAATTTTCTTTAGTTTTAGTCACCTGAAAGCGTTACTTGTTATATTTTTTGATTTGTTTTGTTTGTTTTTGTCCTATTAAAAATTTTTTGTCTCAATCTAAAAACGGGAAAGAACAACAATGGATGGCTAGCAGTTAAATTTTAGATTTAAAGAAAATGTGGGGAGTTTTGTATTGTTTTCTGTATTTTTTTTTTTGTACCTTACTCCCTCTAGTCCATTTATATTCGAATTTAAATAGGAAAAGAAGGTTTTGTGCATTAGAATGAAGATCTAGAACAACCTGCTTTCTTACAAGGATGCTTTGTTCCTACTGCTTTAGAATCCAAAATTAGTGCCTTGATCTTGTTCAGGCAGCAGTTGCATCTGTTGGACTTGAAAGGAAGGCATTACTTTCCTGTTTTGCTCAAAAAAGCGCAGAGGAGCTTGATTCAAGTAACTGTTTAAAAATCCAAAACTGGATCTGAAATCATGATTACTAATTTGTTTTGGAGAGCAGTTGTGGTTACAGTTTAGGGAGTCACTTGAGAGAATGGATTGCTTTTGATGGAAAGTGACCAGGGATGTTCTTATTTGTACATTCGCGTACCAAATTAATGTAGTGATATTACTTTCACCCAGCGATATTTAATGATAATAATTTGACATGCATGTCTTGTTTGTGAAAAGCCTTTATTTAAAGCACTGTTCAGCTATTGTTTGTCAGTGGTGTCCGTATAATAATCCTTTTGGTTAATTACACAAGTCTTGCCTTTGCAATATAATTTTATAGAGTAACACCTAAAGGTGCTAAGAGAAAGAGCATACCTAGACTGAGTCAGAGATCAACATAGTTACTGATCCTATATCAAGGAGAAATGCTTATTTTGATGTTTATGGGTAGGCAGCATTGAAGATAAAATTAAATTGACAAAATAGTTGTTACAGGAAAGTGAAAGTGAGATTAAGAGAGCTGGAGACAGAAGCATTTTCATACGAGGTAGAGCATTTGGTTTTCTCTTATGGTTTGTCTCAAGGAAATATTTATGAGATTATAGAAGATTCGTTGTACACGTCTGTTAACTGTTATTGAAATAAGATTGTTCCTATTTATGTATCTGAAGAAGGTGACTCAGTTTGTTACTGATGAAATAATGTATCTGATAGTTTTAATATTGCATGAAAAGTTGCTGACTTTATGTATCATCTTGCTGCATCCAATGCATGTAACCCTAAAAATAAACTAATTTTCAGCTATTGGCAGACTCTGAAAAGCCTATACCTGAATGGCCTTTTCTATTTCAGGGCTCATAGATACGAGTATGATGAATTGCTGATAATCTTTTGATTTGTAAACTTTTTTTGGCTTTGTCATGCGGGATTAATTCCAAATATTATTTGAGGGAAATTAAAAAAAGCCCTTATATAAACTAATTTTGTTTGAAACATACTTTTGGACTTTCGTGATAGGGGAAATTTTTTCTTGTCTCAACTGGCTGTGCATAGTTTAAAAGAAGTCTTAAATGTCTTGTGTGGTGTAACATGGAAGTAGCCACCAGAAATGGAAAAGACCTATCTGAATTACTTAATTGCTACTATTATTCACTGTCATAACTTACTGGTGCTTCGTCTTTCACATCTCTTAAGGATCCCCATGATGAAAACTTTGTTAGATCCTCCAAGTATTATGACATTCCAGCTATAGCTAAGATTTCTCTAACTTGCAGCTAGTATTTCCAATGAAGACTACTAGAATAGTTTTACCACTGTTAGAATTCTTTAAATTTATCTTTTTTTTCTCTCCCAAACGAGTTCTTCATGTGTGTGACTGTGAGAAGTTCCCATATTGCCCCTGTCTCTTTATATGGATAGGGCTGCTGTTTTATTTCTTCATATATGAACCCCTCCTAACTTTATTGCTCTCTTCCAAATTTTCGTCAAGTTCTAGCGTGGAACTTTGTTGTGGTTCAAGCCACTAACCAATGTCTGAAATTAAAAAAACCTCTATTTTCTCTCTAATGTAATCCCTAGTCAGTTGCCATGACTTCTGTAATTTAGGATGTGATTTCTTAGGATAATAGATACTTGAAATTATATTGAAAATGAAGTGCAGGTTTCTGAAGAGCAGTTTATGCTGACTTCAGGTTTGTAAGTTCTTCACAGCCTGAGCAAGTTCTGCAGCTGTATGTATCTAAAAGTACTTCTGCCTTAGTGAAGTTGATAATGTCAGCTCTGGTCTCGTGTTTGAAAAGAGCCTCTGTGCTTGCATCCCAGAGAGCTTGAACTGAAAGTGCTTTCCAAATGCAGGCAACATGAAATTCATCAGAAAGCACAACAGAACGTGACTATGGTAGGTGTCTGAATATTTAGAAATTTTCTGAATCATTCCTTCTTTGACTGGAGAAACTGAAGGCTCTCTTGCATTTAGTATGCTTATAACAATTGTACTTGTTAAGTCTTTAGGCTTCATGGCTTCAGATGGTCCGCTGGCATCTCTGAAAAGGAATTCATTTGAGGGTACTGTCCTTTCCAAAGAACAGATTTAAATTTTCTGACAGAGATTGCAATGGATCTCTGCACAGTAAGATGCTTACTGGCATGTAGGTTCAGAATCGTAGAGATCAGCATACAGGAACTGCAGGCATTTGTTTTAAGTTCTGTGGATTTGCAGATAGTAGTTTCAGCTTCATGCATAACTTGGAAGATAATTCAGCACAAATTTGTGCTAATTCTGTGCATCCCCCTGCAGTGGTCTCAACTTCTGTAATTTTTTGCAGATATTGAAATCTTCCATGCTTAGTATCTGTTTTGAAAGCTTTCAGCAAGGCAGCTTCCAGCAGCAGGTATTTGGAGAGATGAAAGACTGCGCCTTTTAAGTTATAACAGGAAAATATAAATTGTCCTGTTACTTGAATTCTTTCTTGGTGCTCATGCCAGTTTTGTAAACTTAAGTCAGATGTCTGCTTTTCAATTCCAAGAACCCTTGGTAACTTCTGTTCTGTGGTCCTGTGGTATCTTGCTTTATTTACTTCCCCTGCTCCACAGTTGTTGCTCTTCATTGGGATGGTACAACAGGATACCTGGGAGAACTACCAGCAAATTTGTTTTTGTAGTCTGCAGTCATTTTCTGCAGTTTCCCCCTTCAGAAACATCTGTTGAAGTTTTTTTCCTGACATTATAATCTTTGAATGGCTTTGAAGGAATGAGCAGTGGAACTGAAAGAAGTGAAAGTGTTAATAATAATAATAACAACAAATAAAACCCCAAATTGTGAACTCCCTACCTCCCGAGGCAAAGGAAATATGAAGTGTGCAGTATGAAGGGACAATGCTTAAAAAACCTGAACAGCATTCCCTATTACAAGCCTGTACATTGAGTTTTATTACTTCCTCAGAGCAGTGTTTTTGGCCTATTGGACTGCTTTGCAAAAAAGAGAGTGTGGGTTTGGCACCCTTGGTCTGGCTGCACAAGTGAATGCTGAGGAAGTGTTTAGGTAAGGAGAAGTAGTCAACTGATAAGGGAAGAACAGTGTTTCCTAAAAACCGTTTTTGTAGTTTTCTTTTTTCATTTTTTAAAAAAAACCCCAAAATTTCCATGCCAGGTACATGTGTAAACATATATAAAATGCTCTGGCTAGATCATTTTATTTTATTTTTTTTTATATCTGGAGTCAAGCTGAAGCAATGAATATTGGTTTTATGTGTAAAATCACACCATGTTTTGACTATTTATTGGTTACCTAACTTACCAGTCATGGCTTTAGAGAGATTCTACTGTACTAATAGTTATCAGACATCTGTTTTTAACTAGATGGCCTTTCTAGTTCTGGCTTTGACAAGAAAAGACTATTTCCTGATATTACATGATGACGGCAATCTTTTTGCTAGTATCTGGCTACCTCCAAAGAGAGAGATTGTTTTAAAGTGGCAATGCTTTAATTGGAAGGTTAAACTAGTTCCTGAATAATAAATTCCTGGGGAAATTCCCTTGTATTGGGTTCCAGGTAGAGGATGATCTGGTGACTTTGAACCAATAATCCAGCTGATTTTCCACTCATCTTGTTGTGCACCTGTGTAGACTGTAACGTTCTGCCTTGGCAGCAAGGAAGTCGTGGGAGACTATTAAGGTCTTGCTAAAGTTGAGGGAGATATTTGTCGTTCTTCTGAAATTCATAGATGTTGTCACAAAAGACAAGTAGATTGTTCAAGTGTGGTAATATTGATAAATTAGTTCTGTTTTCAGTTATGTTGTCATGTGTCTAGAAATAGCTTTCAGGAGATCTGGCTCCATGACTCTTCCCTGGAATTAAGTGAGGTTGATCAGCTCATAGTTCTGATTATTTTGTGTTTTTCTGAAAGATAGGTGAATATTTGTCTTCCTTCAGTCATTGGGATTCTCTGCTGACCTCCAAAACCTTTCAAAGATGATGCAGCAGTCTCACGATAACATAAGCTGCCTCTCTTAGCATCCTGTCTGGTCTTCCTGACTTGTAAGGATTGATTTCTCAAGAAGTCCTTGATTCTATCCCCTTCTGCTACTGGTAATTCCTGTTCTTCAGCTCATCTAATGTCTGTGTTGAGAACTTGTCCCCAGCATTCATCAGAAACCTCCCAGCTTGCTTGTATTCTTTCGTGATGTTTTTCCAGTGGATGTCAGGGACATTAATTTAAAAAAAAGAAACCAAAACAAAACAGTAGACCTCCTCTGCCCCAAACAACAATGAAGCACCCCTCTCAAACAACCCACAGCCCCAAAAACCCAAACCAAAACCACACAAAGACTCAAGATCTTGGGAATTGAGTTGCTTAAAGAAGATTTTGTCCTCTTAGCTTGAGTGGATGAACTATTACCAAATCTGCACTGCTATATTACTCTTCCTGCCCTCTTTCTTGATCCAGACCTTCCAGCTCTCACTCTCTTGTCCTTTCCCAAGAAGAGATCCATATATTTGACCTGCCCTTTATTAAAAAGGGCAAGCCTATCCTACTGCATATTTTAAAGATTGGGTAACCATTCACTGGAGCACTGCAGGTGTGATCTGTCCCATCATGGCAGCTATTGTAAGAATGCTGCTGTTCTGCTTGCAGGCTCCAGCTCCTGTTTGTTTTCTTGGCCATATTCCTTTACATACAGCTGCTTGAGGTGGACTTCTTTTGACTTCTTTTTTACTTTGATGCTTCTAGGTAGGCTTTGGCAGCTCCCACCAGCATGACCCACCCTGTCCCTGAGGAGCAGTGTTTCCCTGACTGCCTTAGGCACGGGCTGTGGTGATCTTTCAGCCCATCTGCTCCAAGTGTAGCTTGGGTCAAGGCATCTGGTGTGTGATGGGTACCTCAGCAACCGGGGCTATAAAGTCACCCTGTGTTCTGCATGGTGCCATGCTTGTTAGCAGTGCTCTGCCTCACCAGCTCTGTGGCTGAAGGTGGTGAAACTCTGGAACAGGTTGTCCAGAGAGGTGGTGGAGGCCTCATCCCTGGAAGCGTTCAGGGTCAGGCTTGATGGGGCTCTGAGCAACCTGATCTAGTTCAAGATGTCCCTGCTCACTGCAGGAGGATTGGACTAGATGACCTTTAGAGGTCCCTTCCAGCCCAATACATTCTATGATTCATCCATGCAGAAGGCAGCTATGGGCCCCTCTCTGTCACAAACCAGTTATCAGTCTGTGAGTTGAGAAGCAGCTATTGGAAGGTAACTGAAACACCTAAATGCAGCTTCTCTGCGTATGGGGTGGGAACCCAAACAACCCCACACCTGCTACTAAAAGTTACTGAGAACCTAAGAAGAAATGTTAGCAGAAATCTTGCCTGAATAAATAACTTACAAACAAAATGCTAGTACTCCCTGTTCCCTCCCAAACCTTGCTGTGAAAATTACCTCTGTGCAGTAGTTGACCAAAAGTCCTCCTTGGGAGTAACTATCAGATGTATCTCCTGCCAAAGCCCCCGTTAGCTGCTTCCGTTTGCTGTCATCCTTGCATACCAACTCAGCTGGTGTTCCTGCAGTGTGGGGTGCCCAATATTGTCTAATGGACAAATGAATACTTGTCCTCCTCCTCCCTTCCTGCCTCTCAGTCTAGTGCAAGTGGGTGGCACCAGAAGGTGGTGAAGATGGCAGCCTTAGTAGGCATTTGGTGATGAGAGTGTGGGTCTTTGTGGTGCTCCTGCTCAGGAACTTTCGGACTGGAGAGCCTCTTTGTTTTGGGTCATGGTGTAGAGGTGTCAGTGATGGCCTTCGTATAGAGGTGTGAGGTACGTCAGCCTGAATCATTGCGTCTTGTCAAATATCAGGACTTGGTTGAACTGTAAGCAGCTTGTTGCTTGTATGGTCACCTATACCTGGGTCTAGATAGAGGCTGTAAGCTCAGATTTCCCTGTCCTAAGTTCCTCAGTACTTCTTTTCTGGGATTAGTGGTGACAGGAATGTTTTGGACTTGGTCTCTTAAATCAGTACAGTTGTGCTGTGTGGGAAGCGCAAGGGCTGTTGCTTGCTGAAAGGATAATGCTCCAAATACAAATTCTCTCTTTTTTTTTTTCCCCAATATTCATAAAGAGACTCAGACCCATCTCCATTTGGTTAGTATGATCACTTTAAGGAAGGTGAAGTGTATTTATGGTAATTTTTATCTCTGAACAAGTATAACTGCACAGATTTGTAAGATACAAACAATGTTAGAATGCCTGATGGAGATAGTCATTCCTGTTTACAATTTAAGAAAATTTACAGATGTATGGATTAGATAATTGGACACCTGATTTTTTTTAACAAGTTTTGCAGTTTAGATTTCTAATTAGCACATACTTCAATGAAAGGAAAATAGTTAATTGTGTGTAAAATGATCTGATATAATGTTTATGAAAGGAAACAACCTTTGATATAATAGTTAAAATAGTTCCAAATCTGTTTAACTAAGAAACATTGTGTATGGCTGATTGCTACCTCACTTTGGTTTTGGACAGATCAGGTAATGTACAGGATCACAAATCATAAATCTTGACGTCTCTTTTTCTGTTTACTAAGTAATTCAATGTAAGTTGTTTGGTAGCAGTTATGCCCCATAAAAGTTTCTGCCACGAAAAATAAAATTAATACCTACAGAATCTTACAACCTTTATTTGTTTGAGTAACTACATACATAAAAGAGAAAACAGAAGGAAGTATGTGGAATGTGCAGTATAATATACTTTAATGAATCAAATGCAAATGGTAAAACATGTTTTTTGGATGTGTGTGTTTTGCAACATTGTTGGAATGAAGAAGTTCCTTGTTGTATGCTTCAGAACTTAATTTTTTAAATAGAGATTTTTTTTTTTCTTGTTTGCTTTTTTTTCCCATTATTTAAGGGAAGGTTTTAGGTTTTCCTCTCAAGAAGCTGCTTCAAGTTTTGGCGATGATCGCTTACTGATAGAGAAGTTCATTGATAACCCTCGTCACATAGAAATCCAGGTTTGTATTATTATTACTATTACTACAAGTCACTGTTTATTTATTTAATAAAGCTGGAACTCATAAATTAATCAGAGTTCAAAACATTTCAAACACTCCGCTAAAAAAGACTGAGAGTCTTGTATTTTCCTGTGTCTTGGGCCATTGCTCACACTGCACGGCTATCATGCACGATACAGCTTTCCTGTTTTTATTCCCCAGCCTTTCTTTAGCAAAAAGACAATGAAGCTCAATTCGTTGAGGAGGGGAAAAAAAAAGGCAAAAAAGTTGTAGGCATCTGTCCTGAGGGCTGGAATTTGAACTCCAGGTCCTCAATGCAGTACTTGAGCGCAGCTGAGGATGTCGGAGTTCAAGCTCTGCAGTGCTAACTTTTTTGCTTGCAAGCTTTAGGTAGTTCTGTCGGTATTTTGGATTCTGAAGTATCTTGGGAGCTTGGGAGAATTTGTGTCCTCTTTTGGGCAGCTTGTGGTTCAAAATCAGGACTTGTTTGTCTCGGACAGGCTCTGTAGTAAAACTATGATTTTAAAATCTGTGATGTGTTTGTTCTCATGTAGACAACTAAATCGGGTTTGTCAATAGCCTTGAAATAATCTTTCAAGAAATCTATATGGAGTGTGTCTGATCCTCAGCAGAAGTTTAACGTATTTTTTTCCAAAATATAAACTCTAAGTTGTGGTGGCGTTTTCTTTTGCAGTGAAAGCCTGAAGTATTTTGACAGTGACTCAATAACTGAATTAAAAAAACAATGAATTTGATAGTGTGGAATGATTTGTAAGAGAGAAATATTTAACATTTTTTACTTGGCCAGATATATGCCCACAATCTGATACTTCCCATGTTTTAATTTGTTTTGTGTGCAAAGACTAACTTACTGCATACGTGAAATGAAGAAACAATCTGTAAAAAGGAAATTTAAACCCCAGCCTGTTCTCTTTTTAAGAGTCAAGGAAAGGTGTATAGTGAACATTTATCTTTAGCATCGATCTTAGGTTACAAAAGAGTTCAGGTTGGTAGAGCATCTTCCTATATTCTCTTGTAATAGTTAATAGTTTTTGGCTACCTAATGTCTTGGGTTTTTTTTTCTTTTTTTTTTTTAGAGAAGATATGCAAATCGGTATGCCCTAAAGATTGTTCCTTTAAGTGCTTGCAGATTTGGGAGCTTCAGCAGGTTCCTACTAACTCTTTAACGACTAAAGCTAGAGGAGATTTGATTTTTCCATACTTTCATGAGTTTGGGACAGGTTTTACGCTTTTGATTCCTTTAGGTTCAAAAAAGGTTACCTTAAAAAAATTAGGCAGTGCTGTAGAAACAGTCAAATAATTTCACCTAGATCAAACAAAATAATATTACCATTAATAATTTGTTTTATTTATAATAAAGTGTATGATGAATGTTGCTTTCCTCAGACACTTTGTTGGTACTGTTAAACAATATCATGGCATATCAATTTAACTTCGTGTTCTAATCAGCTCTAGGACGTTGACCTTGGTTCATTTTCAGACTGCTAAATATACAAACAATTTCAGATCAGATGCCAAATATTTATTAATTTAGCAGTAACTTTTAAGTAGAACTTTTTTTTTAATCTTCTCATATAGCTCCAAAGCATTGGTACTTAAAGTTGTTAAATAAGGAGTTTCCTGTGTCTAGCTATAAAACAATCACTTTGTAAAACATGAGAAAAGACTAAAACAATTAACAGGAAAATAGAGTCCAAATAGACTTTATGCTTGAACTGATTTGAAGTCTTGTTCTCCTGAAATATCTGATATAAGGGCCTGAATTTAAAGTAAAAGTACATGGAATGTCTATTACTTGGCTAAATAGTAGTCCTACAACTGGAAACAGAATTTAATTGAATCAGGTAAAAGAGACTGTGATACATTATCTTTAGTTATTGTGGCACATAGATGTAGATAGCATATACTAACATCCTAATCATGTAATGCTACAATACAGGATCTCTTAGAAATATTTAGCTGTTTAGAAAAAAATGCTGCAGCTGTGACAGGCCTTTTTAGGGAGATGTGTCCTAGAATCTCACGTCATTTCAGAGATGAGAATTCCAACATTCTGTAAATGTCTTCTCAAATATAACTGTTTTATGAAGTATCCTCTTTAGTTTCTGATAATGAAAGTGGCAAACTCAAAATGAAATTAAAAGCCTAACACTAGATGTTGCTTGGCTTATCTATTTATAATTATGTTTTCATGGTAGATGTTTATGTATCTATCTCTTTGAGCCATATTAACTGATAATGGAAAAACATTCATTTTAAGATCCAGATTGCAGAAATTAAGTAGAACAAGAAATGTGCTGAAGTGAAAGAAAAATATTTACTAGTTGGCCTGAAAAATATTTTATTATCTTCTTCAGGAAAATACAGATATAGAGGAGAGAAGCACAGGAACTCATTTTTATTGAAATATTCCAGGACTTTTGGGTTTGTTTGTTTAGGTGAGGCTGAATTCTGTGGAACATTATAGACTTTCTAACAATGAAACAAAAATGCTCACAAAGAATCATTCTACTTAAAGGGCAGGTATTTCTCAAGTACTATACTGTGCTCTAGAGATAGTGTTTTAATATTAAAAAAAGAACAAAAAAACCCAAACCCTGACCAAATACTCATTGATCCTCCCAGACTGTTTTCTGTAGAGCTCTGTGGTGTTTAGTTCTGGGTTGGATGAGTTAGGACCTGGGTAGGAAGGTGCTTTAGACACTGCCGTTTGGTTGGTGGTTTTGTTTTGTTTGTTTTCTCTCTTCTTCTGCTTTGTACCCAGTTGCCCCTTACAGAATGTAGCAGTTGGCTGGAGTACCCTGGTGCTGCCCGTGCTAAACCTCCTCCTGGCCAGGGAAGAGGCTTCGGGGACACGCTGCAGTTCAGGAAATCCTAAAGCCACGAGTCTTGTAGAGCTCTTTGGAGAGTATTTTTTTTTTTTTTCCCTAGAAAGATTGATGGATTTCTGAGACCGCAACAGAATTTTTGACGGAAAGATGTATCTGATCCTGCAGGGTTCGGAGCAGTCTGGATCTGGTGCTGCACAGTTGTCTCCATGAGATCAGTACCTCTTTTTCGGTCACATCTCCCCAGATTATTCACGCATCAGCAAACATTGGTGTCATAGATGCAGGAATTCATCTTGCTTAGTGCCATACTCACTCTGTGGTGCTAAAAGGAATAATAAATAATACAGATTCGTTGTCACAAATGCGAGTAGATATGGTTGAGTTCACGCAGTTTGAGGAAGATTGTCTCCTTTTTTTATGTTTTCGGTTTTCAGTGTAGAACTGCACTATTAGAGAATGAAGCATGAATATTGGCACAGATTCCTGCGGATCAGAGCAGGAAGATAGGTGGAAAAAAAATGGATTAGAGGGAAAATTTTATAAGGAAGGAAGGGAGCAGGTGTAGTCTGCAATGAAAGAAATTGTTCCAAGAATAAGTGAAGAGTATAACATTTTTAGACTGGAAGAAGTCTACTTGAATCCTCAATTCCAGTATGCCGCTATTGGAAATAACTGCTCTGTACAGTTAATTTCATAAAAGGGAGAGAGTTCCTATTCTTTTTTTTTTTCCTTCCAATTTGAAGTTGCAGAATCAATTGAGAGTTCAGTTATGCCGAACCTTGTGTGTTTTCTAGCATGTAATTTAGGAAGTTGGATCTAGATACTTACTTGACTGTGTATTTAACTCGTTCAGGTAGCTGCAGCCAAGAACTGTAGTTGACATTTGATTTTTAAAAAAATGCCTTGAAACTACTGCTTTGCCATTGAAAATACTCAAGAAATAGCAAACTTTATTCTCCTTAATAAAGGGTTGCAAAGTTCCTGAAGTTTTTTTCTTTTCTATGTTTTCTTTTTAGTTAAAGGCAGGATGCTGTGATTTGCCCAGAAGAAATTTCCATTAGTCATTATTTTTGAAGTTTTGTGTAATTCAGGAGGAAAATTTGCCATCCTTTGAGATTTTCTCTCCTTAGTTGACAGAGGATATGATTTCACTGTGCAGTGCAACTATAAATGCTTGAAAATGTAGTTTTAGTCTTATTTCAATATTTTGATTTCTGATCTCTTATCTTTTGGGAGCTTCTCCCAGATTTCAGTGTGACGTTTTTCCCCATGTATAAACTATATTCAGAATATTAGGGAGCATTTAATTAGTACTTCATATAGAAATAATTATCTACATTTAGTTTTTTAATAAACTGAATGCTACATAAAAATATAGTGTCAAAAGACCATATGAATACATCTGTTTGTTAGTAACAGCATGTTATTTTTTTCAGGTTTTGGCAGATAAACATGGTAATGCCTTGTGGTTAAATGAGAGAGAGTGCTCCATTCAAAGAAGAAACCAGAAAGTTGTGGAGGAAGCACCAAGGTATGGATAGTATGCTCTTGATTTCATTTATTGTACAAATGTGTACAATTTTTATTCTCTTGCAATCCGCAAAGAAAATAAATGTTTAAAGTTATAGTCACTTGACTGTAGTGCGATTTTTCTTACACTTGAGGGTATTTTGACCTTACTTTGTGATGTCTTTCTGTACAAAGAAAACAGATGTTGTGCTGTTAATTTTTTTCATAATCTTCTATAAAATGGACGCAGATCTTATCAAATATGGTGTATGAGCTGTTTTTTTTAAATATATTTAAGATTTTTTTCTTTGCTACTCTACTTTTGGATTTAAAAGTAAAATATGGAATAAGTATTCATTTTACCACAGATACACATATTTGACTATATCATAGTAATTGTGAGAGAGCTATGTAATACTGTTTATTTCTGTTTGAAATGGAACACAAAGTACTAAATAGGCTACACCACTTTTAGAACCATTTATGGTAATGAAATATAGATGTAGGTGTCTGTCCAGTAACTCAAAAACTATGATCTTAATTTCACTGATTTAACATGCAACTGCTATGCTAGGTGTGATCTTCCTGTGTTTTCTGTTGCATAGCATTCAGTGGAGAATATATGTTAAAAAAAAAAAAAGGGGCAGGAGGAAGTTCTGATTTCAGAAAACCAGATGTAGGTATATCACTATGTGTGGGAATTCCCAGTGTAATGCGTTCACCAGCTGAGATGGGTTTGCCGTTGTTTTACAGCACAGAACTGTGTGATGCCACAATTTAGGATGTGAGGAAAAGCACATCCTGCAAATGATTTTTTTTTTTTTTAAAGGCAGTATATAGGTTAACAGTTGATCATAATTGTTGGACTGGCACTGTTCCTGACCTAGGTTTTAAAGGAAAAAATGAATTTTAAGGGTACAAACCCACTGATAAATGCTTAACTAGCTTTTTTTGCTTCCTGGTAGTGTTTGTGGGTTTTTCAGAAACCTTATGCCCAAGGATCTTACTATGTTTTTACTTATGAATTTTGAATACTTCAGGTCCTGCTGTAATGTGCGTGTGCATTTAGGTATATCTAAGCATTTGACAGTCCTTTGCATCAGGGGTACGTGTAACGTGCTGCCTGCCACTGCTGCCTTCTCATTCTCCATGCCTGTGATCAGTTAAAGGGAGTTGATAGGACTTTCTCTCATCAGCCAGCTGTGATCAGAGTATTTTCTTTCATCGGAAATATCCACCTTTTAACTTTCTTGGACTTCTTTGTTGGAGTTGCCAGTAAGTTTTTCTCATCCTCTTCTGTAACCCTGCAAAAGGGTGCAGACAAGTCAGTAGCTTCCAAAATTTGGTGTGAAAACTCTTCTCCCTTGTTGTTGCATGTTTTAGACCTCGTCAGACTTTTATTGACAGCTTTGCAAGCTTCATGTGCCTTACAGCCACTTACAGTTGGCTGCGGAATGCATTTAGTTACAAAGGGTTATGAGGCTGTTGCAGGTAAGCAGGATGCTAACCTCTCTGTGACACCAAAGCTTGAAATTAGTCCTTCCTGTTGAGGGTCTTTTGGCTCTGAGAAGAATTTCTGTGGTTTTCTTAAAGCTAAGTCTGCAACTCTTGAATTTATCCTTACAGGATCATTTTGTGCTTGAATCTCCAGTTTTTCTAGGGATGTTCATTCTCTTGTTAGGAGAAAAAAAAAAAATCTCTTGGGGAGCGAAAGCTCCTCGCACCCTGATGAGGTTACAGTATTCAAGGGAGCTCTGGTCGTCAGAGTGCTCAATCCTCCAATTTCCAATAGGAGACCAACAAGCTTTGCTTATGCTGTTTTAATGTAGTCAGATGTCCTGCTCTGTTCTGGGAGGCACAGAGTAAGATGCATCTGATCATTGCCAGTTTTTTGATTAGTGCTGGGCAAGGTTAGTGCTCTGCAAAACTTACAACTGTTTCCAGTATTTTTCTTTGCTTCCAGCTTCATACCATGTGGAGGATGCTGTTGGCTTCACATTTCACCACAGTGGCTGAAATTTAAACAGATGAATAACATTTAATCACCTGTTCCCTCCCCCCACCCCTGCTTAATTCACCTTTTGTTCCTCCTCTGCCCAAACTCTTTTCTATTCATTTTGAGAGACAGTTGCTATGAAACAGTGTACTTTGGCAATAAAAACTGCAAGGGTGTGTTTGTATTTTCCTGTATGTTAGAGTGATTAATAAGGGATTCTGCCCCATGTGGCCATAAGTGTATGAGAAAATCCATTGCTCCTTTCAGATCAGCCTAAAGTAAATGGATCAATGGAAAGTAAACATACAAGAGTCTTAGCTGACTTCAATAACAGAGCGTTCTTAAATTTGACTTTGAGAGGAACATCCTATCTAACCTCATAGAAGCTTTTTAAAGCATTTTAACTTTTGCCACACTACTTGGGTGAAAAGATGCCCATCTTTTCAGAGGCACTTGGGTATCTGTGCTGTTTGCTGTCCAAAGTCAAGGTTTTTAGAGCGTTGTTATGGAAGAGTGCCACACAAAGGTCATTCCACTCACTGTGATTGTCCAGCACTGTCCTTCTCTAAAACAGTCAAAGAGATTAAATATTTGATCCTCTGTGGAATACCATTTAGAATTGCAGAACCGTTTAGATTGGTAAAGGCCCTTAAGCTTATTGACTTGAACTATAAACACAACACTGCCACGTCCACCACTAAACCATGTCCTGCAGTACCACTTCTACACGTCTTCTGAATACTGACTTTACCACTTCTCTTGGCAGCCTGTTCCAGTGCTTGACAACCCTTTTGATGAAGAAATTTTTCCTCGTATGCAATCTAAACATCCCCTGGAATAACTTGAGACTGTTTCTTCTTGTCCCTCTAGACCTTTCACCAGCTTCATTGCTCTCCTTTGAAGGGGTTCTAGCCCCTCAGTGTCTTGTAGGGAGGGGCCCAAAATTGTGCACAGTACTTGAGGAGTGGTGTCTACCGTATCTGAAAATGCTGAGCTTCAGCACACTGAGTGTTAAATCTTCTGTCAACATATTCAGGTCTGTCTTAGACAAGTAGTGATGGAACAGTGCTCTGTCATTGTATTCTGTCCTAGCATGCAACATGTGTTAGTATCTATCCACTGTGACGAAGTCCTTAGAGCTTGATAGCTGCCTGCTTATTCTCCTTTGTTGTTTCTGCTTTTCTCCAATGATTCCATGTCTTTTGGATCAAACCTTAGCATCCAAGGGTTCTGGAACAAGGTGATTCCTAGGACAGTCTCTTAGCCATTTCCCCAAATTTCCCTGAGTTTAATCTCTTCCTAGCTGCGTATGTTCAGAGTTGAGATTGCCTTTATCTCTCCCAGATGCTAGTTTTATGTTGTCTTTTGGAATTGAAAACTGTTGTTTCAGTTCAAAGGACAAAAGTGTATATTTCTCTTTCTTCCTGTAACAGAAAGATCTGAGAGGTTGTAGATTTAAAAGGAAGGCTGTTTTACCAGTAAGTACCTGCACTAGTATGCAAGCAAAACAGGTGAGCTATTGTTGTGGCCTTTTTTGTGTGTTCCATTGTTAGTTTCTTTCAGGAAGGTTTCTATCCTTGGAAGATGCACAGACAGTAACTTCTTTAACTTTCTCCAAGCACTAAGCTTTCTTGGAAAGATCTCAGTATGATGCCAGGAACCACAGGATCATATTTCAGGTTAACTGTCAAGGTGCTACTTGGAGCCACTGAAAATTTGAACGAATATATATAGTTGTCTATATGCATTAGTGACGAAGCCAGACTTTGAACTAGACTTTATGTTCAAGTTCTCCTTAGAGTTGTGCCACATGCGTGTATATATATCAGACTCTACGTTTCCTATCACTTTGTCTAGAAGTCCTTGAAGGATTTGGGGTTAAGGAAAACTGAACCTGTTCTGTCTGTGACTGTGTGCATGACTCACACATGGCCACAGTATAGATGTGGGGGCAAAACTGTCTTAAATACTTTAGCCTGTTTATGCCTGCAGCGTGCTACTACATAATAGAAAAAAAGAAGGGTTTTTGTAGGTAAGTAGGTTTTTCTTAAACAATATGCCTAACTATTTCATAAGAACAGGTAAGCTGGCCGTGATATTTAGAAAATGAAGGGGTACTTCTAGTGTAGTGGCATCTTCAGAGGAATTGTAAATGTTACTCTTTGTGTTTTTTGTGTTTTTTTTTCCTTTTCGGAACATTAAATTTCCATTGATGGTGCAATTATCTGTACTTTTCAAAATCTCAACCTTACGTATGAGTGAAGGTGATAGAGATATTTTGGGAAATGTCATCTGATGAAGTAGAACTGGAGAGGTAACATCTTGCCAATGCGCTTCATCTCCCTGGCTACAGAAACAATGGCACAAACCAATTGTATCTTCTTTGATCAACTTAACAATAGCTTCAAGAAGGTCTTATGAGTGAAATATCAGGTCTGATCTTATTTTTTTCTTGCTTTTATCTTCTGATGCCTTTTTATTTTGCAGCCTTCATGCTGCCATAGGAGCTATTTGGTCAAAATAGCTTGTGTGAGAAAAAGATTTGAAGTCAGGTTTAAAATGCTGTGTTTTCAAGTGATGCCTAGTTAGATTGGAGAAGAGTTATTTCAGTTGTAAAAGGTATTGTTAAAGGAGAAACAATGTATCTGAAAGGTAAAGCGGCAGAGGGGAATAGGAAAACTTTGGTTAATTAACCTAGCTGACTGCAGGGATGATCAAGTCATTTTAGAGCATAAAGCTTAACCACATGTCAGAGATCAAGTTTAGCAGTGTGACACCTCTGTTCCATTCTTTTGCTGCAGCAGGAGGTGAACAGAGAGATCTCAGACCTACATTTAACAAACATAGGGAAGACACCACTGTAATAAAGGGGAGTAACTGTCTTTCATCCATATGAGAAGTAATAATGGTTATTCTAGAAACAGAGTATGAAGCCCATACTGAAAAGGTTCTGTTCTTCATAATCCGCTCATTGACCTTTCATGATCAAAGCCCTGCAGAACCCCCAAATTGGATTGTAGATTGTTGATTTTGTATAATGTAGTCCTCTTACAGAATCAAAATAAATATGAAACTCTTTTATGTTACGACTGTCTATTTTTGATAGCTATGACAGTTTTGCATATCTTCTGGTTTTGAATTTGATCTATGTAGGATCTCATAGGTTTCTTGGGATGAGACTTGACTTTTTCCTGTTGATCCTGTTGTTTGCTAAGAAAGAAATTATTTCCGAAACTCTGAAAATACATGCCCTACTGTCCATCAGAATCTGCCTGTGTGGGCACTGAAAGGATGTAGGTGCTAAGTACCACTTTTCCATGAAGAGAAGGATTCCGTTGTCTCTCAGTTTGCCTAGGTACTTCCTTGCTCTTTATGTTATGCCAAATACAGTTTGTTGTGGCAGAAGCATCTAATTCTTCTGTGAGTTCAGATCTCAGTGCAAAAGGCCACAGTAAGTACTGTCAGGGCAGTCCTCACCCAGCACTGGTGTCTGCCTGAGCGCAGTCCTGGGACTATGATGGAGCTTCTCTGACTTTGATGGGGCCAGTTCAGATACGTGGAGGCTTCTGGTTGCTCCTTTGCAATGCTGAAGACACCTCAAAAAATACCCAACTTTTGCTATTTTAAACAGTAACTTAAAGGTAAGGTAGAAATGAGTTCCTATTCTATTACAAAAGTACTTTAAAAATGTTAGCTATGTGCATAATGTGAGCCACCACAGAAATATAATAAGCATATTTCTAAGTCTATATAAGGTGAACAGCTGCATGTTGTCCTTCATTTAAAGTCAGTGTGTTAGGGTGAGGGGTAACCAGTTTCACAGCTTTGATGGAAAGCCGGAGAAGTTCCTCTAGCTCCAAATTAACAATCCGAATTTGCAGTACTGAGGACAGTAACGAGCAGAATGTATACCTACCTGAGTCTTCAGTTCACTGGAGCAATGGAAGCGGGATGCTGTTCTCCTAGAGTGAGAAGGCTTGGCATTTGGGCAGCTGTCACAGGGACTCCCACAGTGGTGTCTGTGCTGCTCTTTGGGTGCCCTTGAGAGTGTTTGGGATTTGTGGAGAGGAATGATAGCTGGGCTTCAGCTTACAAGTAAAGCTGAGAGAGGAAATACAGGCTTAAGTCATTATAGCATTGACAGTGTTTTATGTTATGAGTGCCCAGATTTTCCTCATTACAAGTTTAGTCACAGAACTCCAAATAAATACTTAATTAATTTCCAAAACTTATTTATAGCATGAAATATTAATGAAATGGCCATGCTGTTTTAATTCAGACTCAAAAGGTAAATTCCTCTTAAAACTTGTATTTTGGCACTCATATTTCTATTGGATGGATATTTTAGTTAACTTTTTTTTGCAAATAGATATGCCTTCTAAAAATATCATGGATTTGTATGTATTTATTTTAATTTAACTTCCATTATTAGAGATATTTTCTGAAAAAGTGGTGTTCTGTTATTTTATATTTTAGAGAATACTGTTCTTTAACATGTATTTCCTGTATATTAGTGGTAATTGCAGAGCATGCAGTATATCAATTTAGGAGCAATATAAATATAAAGGCATACATTTGAGAATCTTGACATGTTTCCATAACTTAAGTAATGATGCTGTCTTGGTGATGGTTTAAACAGAAGATTAAATGATTGAATAATAATTAATATTAATTTTTTAACTGAGGAATGGTGTTGCTTCTATATTGTAGCACTTTTCTAGACCCTGAAACTCGAAGAGCAATGGGAGAGCAAGCAGTAGCTCTTGCCAAAGCAGTAAAATATTCCTCTGCTGGAACAGTAGAATTCCTTGTGGACTCCAAGAAGAATTTCTACTTCTTAGAAATGAATACTAGACTTCAGGTAAGAAAAAGAGCTCTACAGATTCAAAAAAATGTTAAATGAAAAAGCAGAACATAACCTCCTTCCATACTTAGGGATCTAGTTCTGCAAATACGTACACATAACTAACTTGACGCATGTGAGTGCTTCCCCTGAACATAAAAGATCTTGTAGTTTAAATAAGCTTGTGTATACAGGACTTTGAGCAGTGAGCCTTTGCCCGGCACTCAAGCGTTCAGAGCTTTTGCTCTTTGTTACACTTGACCTAAAGACCTTGCAAGAGGTCACTGTTAAGTGCCACTGTGAGTTCACAGTAAGTGGCTAGACACTGTGCTCTGATGCTTTTCCCCACTGGTCCCTGAAGTTTCTTTATTTCTTAAACTTTGATGATTGCTTGCTGTGTTTTGCTAGGAGGGTGGTTAGAAGAATATGTGTATATCAGCAATAAACCCACCAGCAATCTGCATGAGATTCAAATTGTGACTGGAATGCAATTGGGTAAAAGCATGCTGACACAGTGTAGAATGTTTGCAACATTTCATGTGGTCACTAGTAGATCTTATAATGTACACTGCAGCCTTCTTCCTCTCCTTCTGTAGGACTCTTCTCCCTCTCTTTCTTCTCAGGGCAATGTTCCTTTGTTCTCCTCTCACCTCCCCCTCCTCCACCAGAAAAACTCCATAACATTAAAGACAGGACAGCTCAAGACAAGATAAAACCAAAAGAGAGAAAAGAAAAATGGGGTTGCCTCTTAAATACCCTCATGGCAGAGGTGCTGATTGGCCTGACCCTGGACAGAGGCAGATCCAACTCTACCTGGGAGTAAGGGAGGCTCTTGAAGTTTTGCATGAGTCTACACCCGCTTTTTTTACAAAAAAACCCATCAGACTCAAACCCATGACAATGTCTTTCTGCATAACGTAGGGGCATTCGGTGATGGAGTGACTACATCAGTGGCCAAGGGAAGAGTTATGGATGCTATCTGTCTGGACTTCTTGTAAGGCCTTTGTTATCCCCCCCTCAACATTCTTTTCTCTAAATTTGAGTTGGATTTGATGGATGGACTGTTCAGTGAATGAGAAATTAGTTGAATGGTCGCATCCAGAGAGTAGTGGTCAATGGCTTCGTGTCCAGTTGGAGAGCAGTAATGAGTTGTGTCCCTCAGGGGCCCATACTGGGACCAGTGCTGTTTTAATATCTTCATCAGTGATATAGACAGTGGGATTGAGTACACTCTCAGCAAGTTTGCAGGTGACACCAAGCTGTGTGGTGTGGTCGATATGCTGAAGGAAAGAGATGCCATCCAGAGGGACCTGGACAAGCTTGAGAAGTGGGCCCATGAGAATCTCATGAGGTTCAACAAGGCCAAGTACAAGGTCGTATGTGTGGATCAGGGCAATCCCTGGTATCAGCACAGACAGGGGGATGAAGGGATTGAGAGCAGCCCTGCAGAAGAGGACTTGGAGGTGTCGGTGGATGAAAAGCTGGACATGAGACAGCAATGTGCACTTGCAGCCCAGAAGGTCAATCGCATCTTGAGCTGCATCAAACGCATCATGGGCAGCAGGCTGAGGGAGGTGATTCTGCTGTGGTACTCTGCTCGGGTGAGTCCCCAGTGTGGTGTTCAGCGCTGGAGTGCTCAACACAAGAAGGACGTGGACATGGAGAGAGTCCAGTGGAGGGCCACACAGGTGGTAAGAGGGCTCGAACACCTCTCCTATGAAGACAGACTGAGAGTTGGGATTGTTCAAACTGCAGAAGAGAAGGCTCTGAGACACCTTATAGCAGCCTTCCAATACTTAAAAGGGGCCTATAAGAAATCCGAGGACAATCTTTTTAGCAGGGCCTATTACAATAGGGCAAGGGGAAATCATTATAAACTAAAAGAGAGTAGATTTAGACTAGATATAGGGAAAAAATGTTTTACGATGAGGGTACTGGGACACTGGAACAGGTTGCCCAGAGAGGTGGTTGAAGCCTCATCCCTGGAGACATTCAAGGTCAGGCTGGATGGGGCTCTGAGCATCCTGATCTAGTTAGAGATGTCCCTGCTCACTGCAGGGGGATTGGATGGAGATGACCTTTAGAGGTTCCTTCCCACCAAAACCATTCTATGATTCTATAACATACCAGAAGTTCAAAACCACTTCCTTTCTGTAGTGTATTATTTTCTATCAGTTCTTAAATGGAATTAGCTATGGAATATCCTTGGGTTGATTGGTTTTTTTACAATTTATTTTTAAGCTGTTTTCTTTCCATTCTTTCCATCCCTTGCAATACATACTGGTAAGTGTTCGAAGTCCCAAATGTCAAACTTGCTTAATTGTAGGGGTCTCCACTTATGCAGTAAGAAAGCTTTCATGATTCCATCTTTAAGGACTTTAAAAGACTCCTTTTAGAGTATAGCCTAAGCAGTTTGACAATCCCCTACAATAGCAGACTCGTCCTTTCTAACTCTTAAAGAAATTTACTAATCTTAAATTGTAGTACTTGTGCAGATACTCTCCAATTCCTTTCTCCTGAATATGTATTGTCTCTAATTAGCATTTCAGCTTGAGGCTGGTGAATGGTAATTTTCTTGGATTCTTCCCTAGACTTACCCAAGTGATCTGTCACTTCTCCCAGGTCTCAAGCTTCACTTTTTGTTCAACTACCAGTTATGCAACTAACATCTTGTTCTTGCTCCCTTCTATTAAGGGCCAAACATAGAAACCCTAATGAAGCTCGCCCAGACTTAACTTCAGAACCAGGAGAATCTCCAGATGTCCCTGTATAGCTTCAGCCTTTTTCTGTTGCATTTTCTAACGGCGAACAGTGGCCAACAGGCTCAGTTGCCTGTTTTCATTGAGCATTCCACTGTTGGAAGAACTTTCCAAAATGAAGGACATCCGATGCATAAATGATGCTCCTAAGGTCACTGTCAGTGTGCATTAGCTACCTGTAGGCATCACTGGAACATGTCTACTAAACTGTGCAATTTCCTGCGTCTGTTTTTAATATTTTGACAATCTCTAAATCAGATCGCTGTAGCCTTTTTACTTTAGATACAGACTTAGGAATATAATTCTGTAAAGCTAACTAAATAGTGCCTAATACTTTGCACTGCCTGCTAATTTCTCCCCTCCCTTCACCTGATATGTCTGTCAAGGTATCTTCCAGTGGTTTTGTAAATTATTTTGCAGTAATTGAGAGTTGTGTTATTATTTGCCTGTCTTTTTGGAGAACTCTTTGGGAATATACCTTTTCTGTTATATACTTCTGCAAAAAAAGTCTAAGTAGCACCTTACAGGAACTTTATATTTTATTTAATTTTTGTGTTAAGTGTTACTGCAATACAATATGAGGTTGAAAAGTGAAAAAAAGTTGGTGAATCAGCTCCATTGTGTCTCTTGTATGCTACGCAAATCTATTACAGATGTTTCACTCTCTCTGAGTGATTCAGCTAGAATGATTTGTACTTTGCTGTTGGCAGTGTACTTGTTGTTGTATCTGCTTCTCTGCTATCTTGCAGAGGCTAGCTGATGAGATTGGATAATTACATAACAAAATGATTTGTTCTTGCTTTTCACAAAGAAACACAGAAATATCTGCCCTAGCAGCTACAAGAGAACTTCTGTACATTGTCATTCGGGGTGCTTTGGGAGTGGTTTTCAGGCAGCTACTACTATTGGAATTGTTGAGGCAGACCAGATGTTTAATATTTGCTTCTTTATAGCTGTTCAACCTTTGCTGTGAATAAAGAATATCTATTAACATCTGGGTATGCAGTGTGGCTAGGCTTCTTACGTATGAATCAGCTGGTGACAGCAAAGGGAAAATATCACATATTCTAGAAGGCTGTAGCATCTCAAAATGAGAAGTGTCTCTCGTTGCACTTTTCTCAATTCTCCTCAAGCCAATGAGCAATCTTGAGGAGAGTACTTACCCTGAATACAGTTTGTATGTCTGTCTCGGGCCTGCTCCTGAACTTCTACCTCCTTTGCACATTGTGCAATTTAAGTGACAAGTGCACATGCTCTTCTCAAAATGTGGCCAAATTTCCCTAGAGTGATTGGATCGAAGAAGTCATTTGCGTGGACTGTATCCGACACAGCAAAGTTGAGAAATTTAATTTCAGTAGCAGTGACTTTTCTGCTCATGTGGCAGTTTGTTATAACAGCTTTTTATAACTTTTTTGTAGAATTGTTATAACTTTTTTGTAGAATACTCTGTGTTTGTAAGAGATCTATTGAAAACAAATGGCATATCCGTATGTTTCATTTAACAGTTAATTGTAGTGAAAGTATTTTATATAAATGTATTTAAGTTCTTTTAAAGTAACTTGATTCTGAGGTGTAAGGTGCATGTAAATAAACCTCCATACATTTGTAAAACACTACGCAGAGGTAAGGTTTTTGTTCATCACTTCCACTGTTTTAATCAGATTTTACTGATCTCTGGAAAATGTTATGTTCCAGAGCTTTGTCTTTGTACTAAATGGGCTGTGCTTGGTATAAAAGACAAGGAAGAGTTTTTACATTCAACATATTTTTCTACCTCCCTCTTCATCTCTTTGTCCAATCATGAAAGTATTAAAGTTGGGAAACGTCTAGAAGCATGTAGAAATCCTGTCGATGGCTGGCTGGAGCTCTCCCTCTTTCAAACAGCTCTGACAGTCTCTTAATGGTATCTTCATTCTGCCGCGTATCTTTAGGCAGCACCTGCCGTGTGTTTGCTCAGGGAAGGAGAGAAATGCTGCAAAATATTGCAGCTACATGGTATAAACAGCAGCAGCAAAATATAAATAACTGAGTGATGAGCTGAGTCTGGGTTGCCAGCTAAAACCACGGGAGAGAGGTGGATGCCTGGGTATTGGCAGCAGACCCGTGGGATGGCGAGCGGTGGCTTTGCTGCCTCGGTTGCGTGTAGCTGCTGGGAGGATGAGCTGTGAGAGGTGGACAGGAGTACGGGAGCAGTGAAAGGGGCTGTCAGGAGTTAGAGGAGTAGATTTCTTCAAAGTAAGCTCTCAAGTGACTGTTCCT